AGCCAGCGCAGCTCGCGGAGGATAGGTGTAATGTGGGTGAACCGCGGTGCACCCACAATCGCTCGCGCGGCTGGTACCAGAATTACTGGTAACTTCAGCAAATTAAATGGAAAGCTTCTTCCTTTGTTTGCAAAACTGCCTGTTTGTTCAATTAATCAGGGAGATATACAAATAGCTCCTTTAGTTTGCTCCAAGGAGCAGCAGAGACAGGAGATTGGCTGTCAGATTCACAGGCTGCTGTTCAGTGTCATGGTGCTGAAACTGAACGAAAAGTCCTAAAGAAAGTGAACTGAAGGGAGAGGATGTTAATAGGAGCTTTTAGCCCCTGAGCTAACAAAACCTTAGTACAGACTTTGTCCAATTCCATACGTTTTAGTGATAGGGAGCTATCCACTATCTAAAGTGCTGAAGACAAATTCTTGACATGTCTTCTCCAAAGATCTGTGCTGTGTTGTTCTGGAAAAGCTAGATCATTCTCCTAAGTCCAGCATCCATTTTAATTCATTTCAACTTTCTCAAAAGCATTCCAGATTCATTTTTTTTTTCATTTTTACCTTTTAGATTTAAAATTAAGATAATTTTGTGGGCATGTTTGAACAGATAAGCGCATAAAGTGTTACCCCAACCAATCATTCAAGCCATGTTAACATTTGTCATTTTAATGCCAGTTAGCCTTTTTCTGCCCTTTTGCAGTTCCTTCACAGACACATATAAGCAGAGGTTCCAAGCAGGAGCTTAGAAGCTTTGGGCTGGCTTTGGGAAAATGATGTGTGGGAAATTAGGCCTATGGAACAAGCTAAAGGATCTGTTAGTTTACTACCCTGAGGTAATATGATTCTCAGTGTTTCATCCAGAAAGGCCAACAATTAAACATCTTTACCCATAAAGTATATATGCTATAGAAAAATATAAGGAAATACCAAACTATATATTCTGTTATTCAAATATGTACTTTTTTGTATACAATGTTAAGAAAACACATTATATGCTATATTATACTTTCCCTGGGAGAGGGAAAGAAGATTTTGCAATAATGCTGACATAAACTGTAGATCAACTTTTCCCATGGCCTTTTTGTTTTGCAGATATGAATACAATTACCTACTGATTTCAAATGATCTATCTGATCATCTGTCCACTAAAATGCATGCATTTTCAGACTGAAATATCAATATGTATTTTGTATTCACTAGTTCTAAAATATCAAAGCATTGCTCATTTCACCCGTGCATTTAGCTACATTTTCCACATAAATTCTCCTCTCCAAAGGGATGAATTATGTTTTAAACACTGAACAGATTATATTTAACAATTTCAGGAAAAATGGACATTTCCCCATTTACTCCCTCCATGTGCGCTTCTCATCTTTTTGTGGCAGCCCAGGCTGACATTAACAATTTACAATAGTACATCTATTAGCAGCCTTGCTTTTAAAACTTACACAGCCTTTCTTCTACACGAAGAACATCTAACACAAAAGAAAACCATGGTACTTTCACAGCATTATATTCCTACTCTCTGGAAGTGGTAGCTTTTTCAATGCAATGGCAAACTGGTTGCAGTCAAAACAAACCCCCAGACATATGTTGTGCACACACACGCACACATACAAACAAATACACACACAGAGAGACTCATAATGTGCATAGGAAAACCATCCATTCCCTCCCCCCTTCAGTATTTTAAACATCCTTACACAACCCATCTCAGTTAAGGAAGGTTACCTATTTTAAAGATTGCCCTACAGGTAGCTCGCAGGATGACAAAACATCAGGGCGGAGAGGAGAGGCAGACTTTTGAATAATGTGCTATTAAAAGATCTGTAATGCTTTGCATGAAATGGGGAAGATGGGATTTAAAAAAATTTAATACCGTATTGTGGGAGGAAGACAAAAGCTAAACCATACTGCTTAAATTTGTAGGAGACTGCATCAGCAGAGGTTGAAAGAAGAGCCAGGATGGAAAGGGGTGTGTATGTGTGTGTCTATGTCTGTGTGTGTATTCATAAATGCATTTGTGGCAAACAGGGTGTGAGGCCATCAGCTACGCGCTTCCAATGGTGGAGGGAGCAATTAGGCTAGCGTGGTAGGGAGGACAAGAAGCTAAACTGAGTTTTTAGCCTAATGGAAACAATGATTTGCATATCTCTCTAAGGATCCTCTGGAAGGAGAGAACCCTTCCTCTCCACCAACGGGGGAATAGAAGAAGTCGTCATAACAACACAATATACATGTGTGCATGTATGCATATTGATATGTATATATTTGGAAACGCCGCCAACCTCGGGATGCCTGTCTGCCTGCCTGCCTGCCTGCCTTCCACCCTTCCTCGCACTGTTGCTTTTTCCCAGATGGCCTCAGCCAGAAGATCCAGCGATCCTGGATCCTGGAGGAGCAGAAACCCTCCAGCCTCTCCCAGCCCAGATTCCCCGCGGCCCGCCACAGCGTTGTGCCTCCGGATAAGGCGAGAACGCCGGCTCCCTCACGGCCAACGCCGAGCGATCGCGGGAATCTCTTCCCTCCGCCGCTACCCCGCAATTTCTCCTCTACCCCCCTCCTCACCGTCTCTCACCTCGCCACTTACTTCCTTTCCCACGACCCCAGAGCAACGCCGGAGCGGTCTGTCGGCGGAGAGGCGGACATCGGTTAGAGGGAAGCTACATCCTGCTTCAGCCGAAGAAGGCGGCGAGATCAGCAAAGCGGGCACGGCGGGTATCTTCCCTGGCGAGCCGGGGAGGCGGAGTGGAAGGTGGCGGCAGACGGGGAGAGAGGGGGGGGTGGAAACCCCCCCTCCGCTCATCAAATCCCGGGACAACCGAGCAGATGGGGAGGGGCGTCACGTGTCCCCCCCAAGTCTAAACCCTACAGCTGGTTCCCGAAAGGTAGATCGTTGAGAAGGAGAAGGGGGGAAACAACCCATCAGGCCCCTCAAATGGATCTTTTGAACTCCCGGACTTCGGCTTCAGATCCACCGAACGTGTGAACGGGTTCCGGGGCTCCCAGAGAATCAAGAAGCGCTCCAAGGCAATTCCTCTCTCTCCCTTTTCTGTTCTCCCCCTGTTCTCGTTTCTTAACGGAGATCAACAAGTCCAGCGAGCCTCCGTCTCCCCCTCGCAATTCTGTCCCAGAGTTTGCTGCGGAAGGGGAATTGGAAGTTGAACGCGGGAAGAAGGGAAGAAAAGAGCGCCATCTCGAGTTCGGACGCGGCATGGCGGGCGAGAGGTTTAACGCTTGGCCTCTCCTTTGGAGGGGTTGCGACAAGAGGGAAGCCAGCAAAATGCGCTACGTTTAATGTGGACATGGATCAAGAGTCAAAGACAGGTCAAGGCTTTTTTTTTTTTGTTTAAAGCGGGGATTAAACCATCTTTGGATTCCAAATGTCCTGTGTAGGAAGTTAAAACCCACCCCTCTCCTAGAAGAATGAAATATCCTAGGTAATATTTAAAAGGCAGAAATATTATATTTCCCTGGATGAGAAATGGAGAAACATGTTTTTAGGCAGGAAACAGATTCACTCTTAATAGTTCCCACCACCATCTGTCAATGGGCCATTAAGGCCTGAGCCAGTCTATTCTACATAACAAAGATCTATCCCATTTCATTGGCCTTCATTGCACCACCCACCAAGTTTCATCCATGCTAACTATGACCTCTGACAGCAACCACTCAGGATACTCTTCCTGTGCCCCAGGAAGTTCAAAGCCCAGAGAGGGCATAAAACCCAGGGACTCTCAGCATCTCTACCCTTTTTTCTGCTCGGGAACTCAAGCCATGTGATTCTGCTCAGGAGTTCAAGCCATGTGATCCTGTCCACCATTAAAACCATCTTTCCAAACAGCCTCCATGTTTCCAGTGTCTTTTTCCCCACTTGGAACTGAACCCGGCTGGACATTTCTTCCAATACAACCAAGCCCTTAACTCTGAGACATGAATATGCCTGAATTATACTGGCAGCCAGAACAACAAGAATCAGCTGTTTGTGTTTCTTTTGCAACACTTGTTATGTAAGTTGTATTGGCTGCTTAATAAATCATAAATAAATAAGGGCAAGAAGAACAATATTGCTGCACCAAAGGGGGATGCTAAAAGCTGAGAAAACGTTGTTGAGCTTGAGAAATCAGGAAATCCAGGCTGTTCAAAGGAATCTAACAGTGGGCTGGCCTTAGATCTCTTGCGGGCATAAAGGGTCTCAAGACTGATGACATGTTTGACCCCTCCTTCAGGTTCAGTCTGGTCGTCTCCTACAGATCTTTTTAACAGATGAACAG